TTTATTGCCCGTGCTCATCACACACACACACACACACACACACACACACACACACACACACACACACACACACACACACAGCTACCCCACCCCCTCCTCACTGATTTGATCCGCCCAGGATTTCCTGCCGCAGCGTCTGTGGCCGCCACCTGCTTTACCTTTGGGGCTTTAGAGCTCCACGCTGCAGCATAAAGCGACTAAGGGCCCACCCCTGGCTGCCTTGGTGCTGCCCAGACCGCCGCCACCGCCGAGTGTGTAGTTTTTGCAGGCCTCAGTACCCTTTTGCACGTGTGGGCTCTCTCTCTCTCTCTCTCTGCGAGTGTGCGTGCAGGGACCGACCGACACACACGATGTGCAGATTGTTCATTTTCTCGCGTGTCGGCGCGTTTTCGTTATTCTTTATTCGCCCACTCCTCTCGGTTTCCGCTTGCGTTACGTGAGCCGAGGGCCTTCCCGCCGACGAACCGGCGGTGAACAGCGGCGAGCAGCACTCCGTCTGCAGCCCCGCGCACTTCTCCATCTCGCGCGCCATCGTTCTCCACTTCGTCGACGGCGTCCTGGTCGACGGCGTCCTGGTCGACGGCGTCCTGGTCGACGGCGTCCTGGTCGACGGCGTCCTGGTCGACGGCGTCCTGCTCGACGGCGTCCTGGTCGACGGCGTCCCTGGTCGACGGCGTCCTGGTCGACGGCGTCCTGGTCGACGGCGTCCCTGGTCGACGGCGTCCTGGTCGACGGCGTCCTGGTCGACGGCGTCCTGATCTTCGGTCCATCCTCCCTTTGGCCCTTGGTGGACGTCCCGCTCTGCCTCTTTGTCGTCGTGGTCCTCTCCTCCCCCTCCCCCTCGGGCCGCTGGGGCCGCGCCCATCCGTCGGAATAGAAACAGTCATCGCCATTATGAACGCCTACCAGTCGTCAACGCGGCACTCAGCACTCCGTGTACCCAACACACTCATTTTTCACGGCGGGCACACGCACACACACGCACACACACACACGTACACACACACACACACACACACACACACACACACACACACACACACACGCACACACGCACACACACGCACACCTCTTCGCCCACTCCAGAGACACTCTTTGTCTCCCACCTGTTGGATTTGGGCCCCGAATGGACGCGCCCCGTCGCTCTATTCACGCATTCAATCGTCGCGTCGTGAAATTTCGATATTTAATAATGACACAGCGCTGCGCGGCGCTGCGCTACGCAGGTGGCTGCCTTTTCATCTTGCCGACGGGAGCAGCGTGGGGCCCACCGCGGGCCAGAAGACCGGTGGAGGCGGCCAAAACTCTAGACGCGTTTTGAGCTCCAGAGTCGCTGAACAGGACTCGAACCGAACGTGTGACCCCACCAATGGATTCCTCGTGCGGAGAGCAATCCATTGGTGGGGTCACACGTTCGGTTCGAGTCCCATTTAACGACTCTGGAGCTCAAAACGCGTTCGGGATTTTGGCCGCCTCCACCGGTCTTCTGGCGCACTGTGCGGCGTGCTCTGGAAGGTAGCCGTGGGGGAAGTCGGCGTGCCAGCCGGCAGAAAGAGAAACAAATCAATTTGTCATCATCGCGCGCCGGAGCGGACTACAACGGTGCCGACATGCAGGCTGGCCTGTGGCTGGCCGGGATGCGGGACTAGGGTCTCTCTCTCTTCATCCATCTGACGTCTCGACGTCCCGTGCTCGCCGCCCGATCACCCTTTTCATCAGCCCTTGATGTTTTTCGGCCCGACAGTAGCAGCACACTGGAGAGTCGTCTCTCTCACACTCATAAGCCACTCCGGACAGGTGTGAGAGACACAGTGCCTGACAAACTCAAGGCAAAGAGGTTCATCTCGTTCCGTGCAGCGCGCGGGGCACAACGGGCACACTTTTTGACGATGCCTCGCGTGCTGCAGCGTGCAGCACGGTCGTTCTGTCTCTCTCGCACTCACGGGCCGTGCCGTGCGGGAGCGAGAGAGACCGCTGGCCTCACATGGCGCCGCCGTGAATCATGTGACAAACAGTTCCATCATCATTACGATCGACCGGCCTTAATTTCACTTCCCGATCGCGGTGATCTCGCGGCACGAGATCGATTTTACGCCGCGAGTGGCTCCACTGCACTGCAAAACCATCGAGATGCAGCCGGCAAAACCCAAACCTGCCCACCGCACAGTGGGCCAGAAGAACGGTGGAGGTGTCCAGGATTTAGAGCGCCTCCACCGGTCTTCTGGCCCACTGTGCAGCTGGGAGGAAAATGACAGCGAAATTTCCGACAGTGTAAGACAAGAAGAGTGTCGTCGTTGTCTCTACCGCACCCCGAGGGGACGCCCGTGAGTGCGAGAGAGAGAGAGAGAGAGAGCCTGCAGTCACGGCGGCCCAACGAGGCGGCTGAAATGTGTGCAGAGTGCGTACACTGGTAGCGCGCCTATCGGCAAACCGCGTCCATTTGTCAACCTGCCGCCCCATTCGTCGCTCTGTCTCTCTCGCTCCTCAACGGCGAGCCCCATGAGTGCGACAGAGACAGACAGACCACGTCACCGGTGGCCGCGGCGACAGGCGGCGCGGGCGACATTTGTTGAAGTCATTTGGCTTTCGCTGTCCTCCACTGGTAAAACCATCGTATCTGCCGCTGCTGTGACGTCTGACGTACGTGATTCTGTCCCAGCGACTCCCCATTTCGCCTCCCCTCCGACGGAGAAGGGGTTGCACTTGATTAATGAAACCTAAAACGGGCTTGTTTTCGTCGCAGTGGCTAACCAGTGTCTAACCTACCCTTCCGCAGTCGGCTCGACCACGCGGGAAAGTTGGCAACCCGCGTTTCCCAGCCTGCCAACGTCGCAGTCGGCCACCCTAGACTCCTTCAGGAGCCTGGAACACTGTTATTGCCTGGCATGCACAGTGTACGTGCTCCGATGCACGTTCAAAACAGCCAGCTTCCAAGTCTTCCAAGCGTCCGATCCACTGACTCAGACGGCGGCGGTAGTTTTCAAAACGTGTGCGTGGGAAAGGGTTGGCAGTGCCGGAGGCACGCACACTGGAAGTCCTCAAAAGGGGCGAACAGTGGAGGCGCAGGACGGTAGAGCACCGCAATGCCAGGCATTACCCGTTTGAAAATGGGCGACCTTCGGGCACCTCTCTCTCTCTCTGACAAGAGAAGGGCAGGAGGTACTACTTTGACTGCTCGCCGGTGAAACGGGGGAATGCCGCCGCCGCCTCGGTGGCATGCAATTTCCATTTTCCGTGTCAAAAAATTGTTTTTACTGATTGTAAAGCCATTAAAAATGGGCCCTTTAACTACAAGGGAAAAACACCACACAAAACAAAAAAAAACAGAAAAAACAATAAAAATAAAACACGCAAACAGTGTGCATTTTGCTCTTCGTGTTTAAATTTGACTGCCGGGAAAGGAACCCATGCGTCTTCTCTCAAGCGGCGTTCGTTTGGTTTTTTGTCTTCTAATAAACGTTGTCATGAATTCTGGGCACCTCTTCAGTCACAACTAACAGGTGCCAGTGTAGGCGGCTTGGAATTCCCTGCTTTTTGGAGGCTGGACGCGCCACACTGCAATAAACACGAAAGTTTCGTGAGATAGTCGGACCGCCATCATCATCCTCGTGAGGGATGCTCTCACTGTACGGCAGACGCTCCGTCTCTCTCGCACCTTTACGGCTCGCCCCGTGAGTGCGAGAGAGACAGAGCGACGAATCAGTCTGCGGGAAGTGGCGATGAAATGTGTGAAAACGGCCGCGGCTGCGGAGGAGGCAGTGCCTGAAAAGCGCCTGCTTTCTGGAAACGTGTGAAACTACGAAACACAGTGCAGCACAGACGAGGCGGACGAATAGCCTCGCTCGTGCCATGGCAATGCATTCCCACACTCCCACGCACTTCAGCGCGTTCGTTCGAGGATGGATGCCTCGTCGGACGGGAAGCAAGTGTCGATGAGGTCGTTCGCAACACGCTCCAATCGGCGCCACTTCACAAGGCCAGGCCGGAACACCTCACTGTAAAAAGTGATCGGAATTTTGCCATACAGTGGTCTAGCAACAGCTGTTCTAGGGAGGGGCTCTCACATCGGTTCTCACGAGACCGAAGAGTTCTAAGACTTTTTCGGTTTTCATAGATCCAACATTTCAATGCCTCCTAAGACCAAAGTCCGATCTCAAAATTGTGACGTTACCTCCACCCCTCCCTCCTTGCCTCTTTACATCTCTACGACAGGTGAGAGGAGGTGAGGGATGGCGACACATTTTGGAAATCTGACTTTGTTCTTTGGAGCCATTGATTTTCGGTGCACAGTCGTAGTCCAGCTGAGGTTGGCGACCCTGACAACAAGAGTGCACCACGCGAACGAATGTTTGTCTGACTTTGGCGACAACAGCGCGTCCTTGTTTGTTCGTGTGACCCCCGTGGTGATGCCACAGTCTCGACGGAGAGTCTGTCTCTCTCGCACCCTCGGGGCGTTCCTTCTGGGTGCGAGAGAGACAGCGACGGTCCCCGCCGGGCGCATCGCCCCCTCGGCGCCAACGCCGCCGCCGCCCCTCCGCCGGGGTGGCTCTGCTTGCTCTGCTTGCTCTGCTGGCTCGCGCGCCGCGCGCCAAGATGGCGGCGGCGGCGCAGGCCCCGCCCCCCGCGCCGCGGCAGCCAATGGGAGCGCGGCGGGGCGGAGCGCTCCTCGGCAGTGGCGCTCCCCGCGGCGGCCGGCCGAACCAGCGGGGCGAGCGAGCGAGACAGAGCGCGCACCCAAACACACTCACAGTGTCTCACACACACACACACACACCGGGATATGAATTTCATTTGAGTGCGCGCGGCCGCCCAGTTTTTCTCTTGTTTCCTCTTTCAGTGCCGCGATTTTTTCGTTCCCCACCCCAGAGTCCCTCCCGGAGCAGAGCGGCGCGCCGGGGCGGCGTGGCTCCCCTCCTTGACGGGCACATCGCGGAGTGAGGCCCGGCCCGCCCGGCCTGCCCGCCCGGCCTGCCGCCTCAGTCCGCGTCGAGCGGCAACGCCAGCGAGCGGTGTCAAGTAGTGTCAATCCGAGTCGACGCTGTGGGGACGTTGTGGGGACACTGTGGGGACGTTGTGGGGACGTACCGCCCCTGGACCGCGCTTCCGTCACTGTGCCACCGCGTAAGTGTGTGAGTGAGTGTGCTTGTGTGTGTGGCGTCGACGGCGGCGACCTACCGGCTGTGCTGTCCGTTGTCCGAGGCTCTGAATGGAACACCACGTGTCGGGTCACCAAAGTGTCAAAAGTGTCGGTCGAAATTCAGACTGCGGTTAGTGACGTCGAAGTGGGGAGTGTCATGGTGGCTCGGCCGGTGGTGGGTGGGCGTAGCTTTGGTGTTGACAGTGCAGCAGCAGCCAATGGAGCAAGTGTTGGGACGCGGTGAAAGTCAAGATGGTGACAAGTTGGATCACGACACAGTGACTGGCGTGCGACATATTGGTTGCCATTTTGAGATAATTCAGTATCCTTTTATCTTACGCGCGACATCGTTTCATATGCCATTGCCATTTTAAGGCCAAATTTCCTTCCCGTTTCGCAATTTTTCAAAGGTAAAATTGAATATTTTTTTTTTGGCGTGGGCTCAACATTAAGGTGAAATTTAGTATCCTTACTTGTATTCGTAATTCGTCATCTTTACATGCTATTTCGAGAATCCCATGAGGATCCTTGGCTTTGGCTCCATGTTCGATGTCTCGTCAAACGTCTGTGCCATTTCGGAGTTAAAATGGAGTAACCTTTGCCAAATTGAAAAAGCGCGAATCGGCAGGCACGTGCCGACGTCAGTTTGCATTTCCCGCGAGTGTTGCCGCCACACTGCAAGGGCGTGCCCGCGCTGTCCCTCGTGTTTGATCATGATCCATTCATTAGCATGCAATTACCCAGCCAGTGTGCTGCCGAGCTGACCCTCAGCGCAACGTGGGCGTGCCGCGGCGTGCCGTGGCGTGCCGGCCGACACGCCAAACGAGCTGCCTCCGTTAAGATGACAGCGAAAGGAGGCAACATTAAAAAAAATTTTAAAAAAAAAAAAAAACAATTTTTTTTTTTAGATTTTTCCTGTTTTGTTGAAAAATTTTGGCACTCTTTTTGAAAACATTAAAGCAAGACTTCGGGGACGGTCCCTGCGGGTCCGCGGCCCTGCTGGGCCCCACTGGGCCCTGCAACCACAGCGCCATAGCGCTCCTGAAGGCAACCGCCTCTTTGACACGACACGCCCCGGGGCCCGGCGGGCGGCACGGCAAGGCAGGGCAGGGCTGGCGGCCCCACGGGGGCACCACACAGTGTGGTTCCCCATTAGGCCCCTGATGGGCCGTGCCGAGCCGTGCCGAGCCGTGCGGCCGGATCAGGGGTCAAGCCTTGAGCCTCGCCGCCCCGCTCTGTCTCTCTCCGTCTCTCTCTGTCACGCGGCGGCACGGCTAATGAGTGGAACAAAGAGAGGGGGGAAATGCCGCGGCCCCCGGCGGGATTCGAACGCAGTCCCATCGGATTGAAATCGAAGTTACAGCCCGGGCATTGAAGCTGAAGGCCCGAAGGCCCCCCGACCGCTGCGGCCTGCGGGCGTCGTCGGCACACACCGGCAGTGGGATTGGGTTTTGTCTTTCACAACCGTACCGACTCGCTCTGCCTCTCTCGCACCCACATGGACTGCAGCATGCGTGCGAGAGAGACAGAACACATCGATAAGCTAACAATTTTGGCGGGAAATATTTTTTAAAGTCAGTTTTCGAACCCGGGTTCTCAATAACCGGAATCAGACGTCCTTACGACTGCGGCTACCGCGACTCAAAGGCGGCGCAGCGCGTTCGGCCGTTTGCCGGGAGAAAGGGCGTCGTAACGACCCCCCGCATTGTTCCTCCAATTGTCGGCAAAGCTCTCGCTTCCTGCACTGCTAATACCAATGGCTGCCGCATTTACGCCCGTAATAGGGAAACAGTAGGGGAGGCAACGCCGTACTCTCTGTCTCTCTCGCACTCGCAGGGCGCCCCGCCGGCCTCGCCCTGCAGCGCCGGCATTCAATTTGAGGAACCGCAAAAGCGACTCGTGCGCTGTACAGTACAGTCGCCCTCAAAAAAACAAAAAACACCGCAACTTTCTTCGACTCCTCGACAGTTGCGCTCCTTTATTTTCGTCCTCCTCGGCGGACAGATCGGCCGCGACTCGCTGCTTTTGTTCTTGGCCGCCGATGGCGTTTTGGTGTTTCGGCGTTTTGGCGCGCGCGCTGCCGGATGCCACCGCCAGATGCAGAGGAAGAGAGAGAAAGAGAGAGAGAGAGAGAAAGAGAGAGAGAGAGAGAGAGAGAGAGAGAGAGAGAGAGGGAGAGAGAGAGAGCAACCCTTTGTTGCCTTGTCGGGCCTTTCTTTCACTAATCGAGCCCGGCATCGTAATTAGCAGCCTAGTGGCGAAACAAACACGCAGCATCGGGAAATTATGAAAAAGGAAAAAAAGAAGCAAAAAGAAACGAAAACGGTGAAAGGCGTGTCGGTTTTTCGGGCGGGAGTCGAACCCACGACAGTCGTCAGCCGGCGGTGCTATAGTTACACTCGTTACGGCGTTCGATATCTCGAAAGTCGGGCCGCCACTGGAAGTGAATGCCTCCCCGCGAGCTGAATTAACCCCTTATGGCGGCGGGGGAGGGGAAGGGGAAGGGGAGTGGTTGTTGGTGGCTTTGCATGTTTGGTTGGGGACACTAATAACAACAAAGGACTGGCTATGCAGTTTCGCGGACGACCGGGCTGATGATTAATTCCTTCGGCCGGCCAATCAGCGTGAGGCATGGCCAGGGCGTGGCACGGCACTGTGAGTTGAATGGATGTCGTGTTTTAACGACGCGACAACCACCACCGTGCCGTAACCATGGGGACCACGCACGTGCAGGCCGACGGCCGCCGACGGCAAGGCAGCCGCAATTTCACAGTGCACCCCGTCATGGCGGGCCCCCTGAAGACACGCCAGTTTTTGGCAGTCTCTTTCTTGGACGCGTTTCGAGGCTCACATCACCCAGAACTCAAATGAGACACATGAGGGTGCCAGTGGCTTGCCCTTCGTGGGGACAGCACCGTCGTAGGTTCGACTCGAGTCAAAACACGAGCCCCTTTTGACAGACCCCCACACGTGGAAAGTCAGTTTTCCCCGTTCTTCCTCAGACTAGAATGGACGGATGTGTCCGTATTGATACAGAAAGATAAATGGATCGACGCATGCACGGAGCGGCAGAAGTTTACATCAGAGAGATGGACAGACAGACAGGCAGACGGACAGACAGACAGACAGACAGGTGAGGCCAGTAGCCGCACCCTACTTGTTCGTATGCACAATCGTTTTGTGTGGTTTTCTGGTCAAAGCGTTGGCTATTCGCTGCGGTGGCCTGCGGCCTGGCGGCAAGTCTCTCTCGCACCCTCTCGGGCCGCCCCATGAGTGCGAGAGAGACAGAGCGACTGGCCGCAGCGATCAGGGTCGGCTCCCTTTGCTGAGGTGTCGACCTGCGGCTGTTGCGGCCGCCAAACACTCCGTCTCTCTCGCACCCTCGCGGGACGCCTCGCGAGTGCGACAGCGACGGAGCGAGAAAAGGCACCGCCACGCCGCGGGGGCAGGACGCTGTTGACAGAAACGGAATTTCACACGCTCGGACACGTGCTGGGACGCACTAAGGGGAAAAAAATATTTAATTCGCAAATTTGTTGCTTAAGTTATTTTTATTAATTTTTTTCCGGTGGATGATCGTAAGTCACCAGCACATAAACAAAACTTTTAAATAATGCAAATACTACAAATTTAATTAAAATGGGGTCCTGCAAAGAGTCATGAGACATAGCTGGTATGTCGTTTCACAAAGTCTGCTCATTGACTTTGGAGCAGAGGCTTTGGGGAACTAACTCCCTGTTACGGAACTGTTCCCGCGTCAAATGGGACTTTAATTCAAATCTGACTGCGGCGTCCTTTCCGTCGCGCTGCGTCTCGGCTGTCCGTCAGAGCGGCGTGGCTGGGCGTCGCCACGAAGGGTGACTCCAAGGGTGACTCCACCGGGGGATGATTCACTGAATTCAATTGCCCGCAATTTGGTGTGCAGCGCTGTGCACAAACACGGTCCCATTTGACCGGCATTCGACTTTAGTCACACGCAGCGGCAACACGGGCGTGCGCGGCGTGCGGGGATGTCAACCCGATTGGACACACGCCGAGCCGCGCCGCGCCCGCCAAAGACTCTGTCTCTCTCGCACTCGCGGGGCGACCGGCGCGGGAGAGAGCGACAAAACCGACTCCCTGCCCCGCCATGTAGTGCACATTCGTGTACCCGCCACTGTGCACCCCCGTCTCTCTCTCTCTCTCTCTCTCTCTCTCTCTCTCTCTCTCTCTCTCCAACGGATTGCTCCCTGAAGGAGGAATCCATTGGTGGGGTCACACGGTCGGTTCGAGTCCCGTTTAGCGACTCTGGAGCAGAAAACGCGTCTAGAGTTTTGGCCGCCGCCGCCGGTCTTCTGGCCCACTGTGTGATGTTTGTGGTTGGTGTTGCAGGATGCCGTGATGGGGCCGGGGCCGAGGCGCCCGAGGGACCCGGACCCGGAGGCCGACCCGGAGGACGACACGTGACGGGGACGGTGCCGGCGCCATGCCGCGCCCTTCCCGCGAGTCGTACGGCGACCAGAAGCCTCCCTACTCGTACATCTCGCTGACGGCCATGGCCATCTGGAGCTCGCCGGACAAGATGCTGCCGCTGAGCGAGATCTACCGCTTCATCACGACGCGCTTCCCGTACTACCGGCGCAACACGCAGCGCTGGCAGAACTCGCTGCGCCACAACCTCAGCTTCAACGACTGCTTCATCAAGGTGCCGCGCAGGCCCGACCGGCCCGGCAAGGGCGCCTACTGGACGCTGCACCCCAAGGCGCTCGACATGTTCGAGAACGGCAGTTTCCTGCGGCGCCGGAAGCGCTTCAAGCTGCCCAAGGTGGACAAGGAGGCCCTGGAGCGTGAGCTGGCGGCGCTGCAGCACCACCCCAGCAGCCCGGGCAGCACCACGCCGAGGTCGCCGAGGCCGTCCTGCTCGCCGGACCTCAACCTGAACCTCCGCGTGGGGGCGTCGCTGTCCGAGCCGCCGCCCAGGAAGAACTCCTTCAGCATCGAGAGGATCATCGGGGAGCCGGCGACCGCGGCGTCGGCGCCGCAGCCCGACCGGCCGGAGCGCGCGGCCTTCCAGCACCCCTTGCTGTCCGCGCCGCGCGTGCCGCCGCCCTTCTGCCCGCCCGCGCCGCCCGCGCCGCCGCCCATGTTCACGCCGCAGTTCCCGTCGCTGTTCGGCGGCCACCCCGCCGCCCCCCACCACCCTCACCACCACCAGTACCTGGTGCACCCCGCCGCCGCCGCCATCTACGCCGCGGCGCTGGCCACCGCGGGGCTGCTCATGCCGCCCGCGCCCTCGTTCCTCGGGGACGACAAGCACCTGCCCGCCGTGCACGGCTTCGGCCTGGGGCTCGTCAAGCCGCACCCGCTGCTGCCCTTCCCCTTCGGCCCCATGCGGGTGCCCGTCAGGGACGACCCGAGGGACGCCGTCATGGACGCCGTCCGCGACCACCACGCGCTGCTGCCGCGCGTCCAGGAGATCACCGACCCGGAGCCCCCCGCCACGCCGCCCGCCACGCCGCACGTCGACGTCGTGGACGAGTCGTCCTGCTCGCCCCTGGAGCGGCACTAGCCGCGGGGGCGTCGTCACGGACCTCGCGGGCCTCGCGGGCCAGAAGACCCGGACGGCGTCGTCGACTCTTCTCGTGGACAACGACATTCTCGGACCCGTGGACTTTTCCTTGACTTTGGCGAGGCGTGTGCATGGACAAACACCCCTGGCTGCCCCTCCTGACTGCAGCCACGCGGCATCGCGATAGCGGTAACCGCATTGCGCGAGCAAACACAGCGCGCGAGTCGCGACAGCGCGACCCACCCGGCGGTGCCCGAGCCGCCCGCCGGTCGTTGGCGACATTTTCAGCCCATAAATTGCAGCCGCGCGGCGCGGTGCCCTGGCGGTGCCGACGCTGCGTCTCTGTCGCGTTAGCCGGCCGGGACGCCGTTTCGGAGGCGTCCCCCCGGCCGAGTCCCACGGGGACGGCCGCCGACTGCCTCCGAAGTGACGTCATTACCCGCCAATCCGATAGGCCGGCCGGGCGGCGCGAACGGCCGCCCGCCATGACATGTGTGTGGACACTGCGGACACACTGTGGACACTGGGCGGCCGATCGCGGCGGTCCGATCTCGGCCTCGCTCTGTCTCTGTCGCACTCACGGGTCGTCCCGTCGGGGTGCGAGAGAGACAGAGGAGCGGACGTCGCCGCTTTGCCGCCATTTTGTGCTTTTGCCCGTTTTGCCCACCGCGACGGCCTCGGCGGGATAAACAACGCTGGGTGACGCTACTATGAGAAATTTAGTGCTACTTTTCCTACACTGTGAAACCCAGTCTGCGAATGATTAATCACTGCGTCCAATTTAATTTTAACAGTGAGTCGAACCACTCGAAGCCCTGGGTGCCCAGCAGGGCGAGACCGTCAAAAACTAGAACTCCTCCAGTGTGCTGGCCGTTGGCTGGCCTGGCTGCGCATTGTTCCCGCCCAGTCGAAAGCGGTTCGAAAGCTGCATTATTTCATTATTCTCATCGCACAAGGGGGAGGGCCTCTGTCTCTCTCGCACTCGAGGGGCGTGCCGCGAGGGAGCGAGAGGGACGGAGCGCGGTGCATTCCCCATTCTTTTGTCTTTAGTGTCGCGGAGCGTCAGACACTGTCGTGTCGCGACGGGCATTTATCAGGGCTTTTCGAGTTTCACGGGACGTGGTCGTGGCGTGGCGTGGCTTGGCGTGCCCTCGGCGTGTCAGCGCGGCCAGGGAACTCAATTTCAAGCATGGTTTGGCGCTACTTCCGAGGAAGCGCTACTTCCTGAAGAGCAATGGCAAAAAAAATATTGTCAATTTGCGCTTTTTCCTTAGTATCTAGACCAAACAGAACAAAAAAATAAATAAAAATCAAATCAGTGTTTGAACCCTAGCTCCGGACTTGGGGGTAAAAACGGACGAACACACGTTTCCGGGTCCTTGATTGTTTAGTCTGTCGACAAGAGTTCACGTTGCCCCTGTTTTGGCAGACGTACGGATAGTTCCTTTTTTATCAGTATACGATACTCGTTTAGAACCCCCCACTGGTGGGCCAATATGTTCCTTTTGAGCTGAATGTCTGTAGGCACGATGTGCTTTGTTTTGTTCCACCGCTGGGATTACCCTTTTCATTTTTTTCAGTTGAGCCAAGATATTGTAAAATTGTTTTTAACTGTCTGGACAGTAACCGTTTTTGTGCCGCTTTGGCTATCTTCTGTTACGAGTTTGAATCATTGATGTCGTTGGCTGTTACAACTAAGTATTAAGCTTGTGATAACCCGTGTGGCACTTTCAGTGCAGACAAAATATGTAATTGAGCTTATGATAAACTGTACTTTTGTAAATGAAGATGAAAATACTTTCAGATAACACATAGCAAGTGATTGCGTGCGCTTGTGGCCTTAACATAGACATCGTTGCGACTACGCGACGGGGATCTTCCTATTGAACCATGTTACCTGATAATCCACTATTAAGAGGCTAATTTTGGTGAGGCTGTACTTTGTTTTTGTTGTGATTTTTCTTTGTTTGTATTTATTATTTTAATGAACAACCAAATGGTGTTGTTGGGATTATTGTCTCGGTCATAAATAGACTGTGGAATAAAACAGATATGATAAGAAAAGTCGATTATTGCCCCACATTTCACTTTCATAAACACTATCAACAACAAGAAAAAGAACACACTTTTCACTCCGGAACCCGCGAAGAAACAAAATAATGAACTCGCAGCGGGCCGGCTTCTTACTTTTCCCCTTCTATCTCGGAATCCGACGCATTCTAATGGAGTCTATCACATTCCATCTTGATTTGGACAGCACAAATTGCACTGTGGGAGACTTTATGGCCGCTGGAAAGTGGGTCATCCAAACGGCCGCGGAGGGCGAAGCGGGAGGCCCGAGCGACTTTTTTCGTGAGTCGTGAAAATGAAGGGCGACGGTCGTGCCTGATGTTGAGCAGTGACAAAATAATTGTTTTCTTTTTTCCGAGAAATTTCTCACGCACTCGGATTCGGCGGCTTTCTCCGCTTTGATGAAGGCCACTACACTGCTCTTTGCCGGTGTAGTGGTGATGGCGCGTTTAGAAAACGGGATGCGCTTCCTCCGTAGAAACGCCGCTGCTTTTGCAAAAGAGAGGAAAGAATGGAGGTAAACGGCGGGCGAGCACGACGAGGGATTATTCACGCTCTGGAAACAACTGCCAAAAGAAATCGGAGCACGCAAGAAATATTTGCAGTGCTTAAAAAAAACGGATAGTGAAAATCTTCATGTTGATGAACCTTATGCCCGATCGATGTCTTTGTAAAATACCACGCCACTGGCAAGATATTGAGTCCTGCGCGGCCCGTTGCAGCGAGGACGCCTGGCCACGCCTGGCGCTGACCAGCGCCGCAAGGTAGGCAGCCCATTTAACGCTTCGTGTTGTTGTTGCTGGCCGCCTTGCTGCTGTTGTTGTCGGGGCGGGGCGTGTGCCCGGGTGGGCAGCCGTTCGAGACCAGAGCAAAGCGCTCGGCAGCCCATCTCGCCGCCGCGCAGTGGGCCAGAAGACCGGCGGAGGCGGCCCAAACCCTAGACGCGTTTTGAGCTTCAGAGTCGCTAAACAGGACTCGAACCGAACGTGTGACCCCACCAATGGATTCCTCGTTCGGAGAGCAATCCATTGGTGGGGTCACACGTTCGGTTCGAGCCCCATTCAGCGACTCTGGAGCTCAAAACGCGTCCGGGATTTTGACCGCCTCCACCGGCCTTCTGGCCCACTGCGCGCCGCGGCTTCCCATATTTTCGGGCGGAGGCAACTCGTGTTTTAGGCCACAGTTTAGTGCCCTCCCGCGCTTCCCACGTGCTTCCCTCGGGGGAGGGGGGGGAGGCGTGGGTAGAGCGAGAGCGCAGCCAACCAGAAACGCCCACTATGTGATGACAGGCTAGCGCGCGCAGCGGCTCCCAAATCTTAAACAGAAATTCATGACTTTATTTTTCCGCGGGCCCAACACCGCTATTTCGTTTTTCCTTGTTGTTGTTGTTGTTTGCCCGTCGGCAAGAAGCGTGGCGGCACTGTTCCGTGTCAGGGTCAAGCAGTGCAGTGGTGCGACATCGATTCCATTATAAATGGCATTGCGAAACACAAGAGCGCTTTTATGTTGTATCGCGCTCGTATAGCACACCTCTTTTTACACCTTTTTACACCTTTGGTTTCAATTCCGAGGCGGCATTATTATTGGCAGTGGGCTGTCGCAAGGCGGTTTGCGCGAGCACCCCGTCGCGACACGCGCATAGTGCTGTGTCTCTTTCGCACCCCGGGGAACGTCCCTGTGAGTGCGACAGAGACGGATGATGATTCGGGATTCTGATGTCGGCGACGCGGGACTCGTAAAGCACGGCCTCAAACGGCATGGCGGCGTGGCCCTGCACAGTGGATTTGCCAGAAGACCGGTGGAGGCGAACAAAACTCTAGACGCGTTTTGAGCTGCAGAGTCGCTAAATGGGACTCGAACCGAGCGTGTGACCCCACCAATGGATTGCTCGTTCGGAGAGTCTGGTTCGAGTCCTGCTTAGCGACGCTGGACGTGAAAAAATGTGTTCTTTTTGGGCCGCGCTATGTCAACTTTACTCGAAGCTTCTCGGGTCGACGCAGAAGGGCATTATCGGATTTGACATCAAAGAAGAAAAGAAACAAAAAATTCGTCGTAAAAAAAGAACATGAAAGGGGTATCAGACTGGCTTGTGCTGATGCTGCCGCCTGCGTCCGAAGCGCCCCTTCGTCGCTCTGTCTCTCTCGCCCCCGTGCGGCACGCCCAACGAGTGCGAGAGAGACAGAGCGACGAGAGGGTTACTGCTGCATCACGCTATCCATCACCACCCCTTTCCATCTCGCCATCCCTCTACAGTGTACCCTTCTCAATTAATCTCCGGCCGTTTCGTCGATACTCCTCGCTCCCGTTTGCGCGCGACGGCGTTGTCGGGGGTATCGGCACCGAACAGTGGCGCGTTTTGAGCGCCAGAGTCGCTAAATGAGACTCGAACCGAACGTGAGACCCCACCAATAAATTGCTCTCCGCACGAGGAATCCATTGGTGGGGTCACACGTTCGGTTCGTGTCCTGTCTAGCGACTCTGGAGCTCAAAACGCGTCCGGGATTTTGGCCGCCTCCATCGGTCTTCTGGCCCACTGTGCGCCAGGGTCACGGGGTGGAAGGGGTGGAGCGGGTGGGGCCTCGAAGCATAAAGGATTCACAGCCGACGAGCCACCGCGGGGCCACCGCGGGGCCACCCTCGGCGTCGTCCGGTTGCCAAGTCGGCGCCATGGAATATTGAGCAGACGAGTGCGTTGTTGGTAGAGCGGTGGCGGGGCGGGGTGGGGCGGGGCGGGCCGGGCCGCGGTTTGACTCCAAGGTCGCCTCTCCCCTTCGCGACGTCCCCGTCGCGGCCATAGTCACATGCAGCATTCAGCGGCGTGTGACTTCTCCGCGGGATTCTTCGCTGTCTCATAATTCCCCGCGTGGACAGGAAAAAAATACGAATACGTAAGAATGGGGTTTTGGCGACTCGATATTTGCGGACGCCTTGTCGCGAACCCACAGTCGCTCTGTCTCTCTCGCACCTGTACGGGACGCCGCATGAGTGCGAGAGAGACAGAGCGACGACCCTCGGGTTCGGTCTGCAGGACGGCGCTCTCCTCGTCCAGGAAGCGGCACGTCGCGCGCCCCGCTGATGCGAGTTTCCGCCGCCGCGCCACTGTTCAAAGTTTAGTTTTGGCGGCAGGCCCACGTCACAACAGTGGGTTCGTCGCGCTGTCTCTCTCGCACTCACGGGGCGTCCCGCAAGGGTGCGAGAGAGACACCGACGCTGGCGGACGGGGAGGGTCTCGAAGGGGTGGCGGACTTTCGGCGGCCAGGGTGTCCGAACGGTGCTCGCTCTGTCTCTCTCGCACTCACAGTGCGTGCCGTGTGGGTGCGAGAGACACACCCCATCGACTATTTTAACACCCTCCATATTTATTTATGGCCCTTTCCAATATTCGTCCCAAAATGTTGTTTGGCGTGGACGGCGCGGGGGCGGCGCGGGGGCGGGCCGCACGTCAGGGCCATGACGGGCTTTTCGTGCGTCGGTTTTCGGCGCGCTCGTGCGCCGCTCCCCCCGGCCAGACCCGCGCCCAAACCGCGCTGACACCCCTCCCCCTCCCCCCTCCCCTCTGCCCAATTAACCGCCCCTCATACGCGCGGTGCGGCGCCATTCCCGCCTGGCCGCTTCAATTTAAACTGAGATTCCACTCTTGACGTCGAGGGCCCTGCACTTGCACTTCCTGAAAGTCGATCTGTCTCGAGCTCTGGTGCTCGAACCGAACGTGTGACCCTACCAATGGATTCCTCGTTCGGAGAGCAATCCATTGGTGGGTTCACACGTGCGGTTCGAGTCCCGCATTTAGCGACCCTGGAGCTGCAAACGCGTCTCGAGTTTTATCCGCCTCCGACGGTCTTCTGGCAAATCCACTGTGTGTTTCCCTCGCTGCATCATCCGCTGATCGCAGGACGGCCCCTCTGTGGTCGAGCTGGACATGGTCAGGGAGGTGATGGAGTCGACCGGGATGGACTGCGGCCATCCGGTGCGCGCGTGGGGCTCGGCGGGGCTGGCGGGGCCCCTTGCCGGGGGCGGTCATAAACACGACACCTCCCCGACACAGGGCATGGCCGAGCGGCAGAGCGGCCGAGCCGAAGGAACTCTTTAAGAATCTCATTAAGCACAGATGGGGTGGGCCCTAGGCGCCGGGCCGCGGACACAAAGTCGAACCAAATCTATTCAATTGGAAATCGCTCATTTGTTTTATTCCCGCCGTGACAGCGGGCACGCTGTGTGTCAATGAGTTATGCGACGCCGGGAGATATCTCAGTCGCTGCTGAGGAGTCGACGCGATGCATTCCAACGGCCAGCCTTGACGCCGCACAGTGGGCCAGAAGACCGGTGGAGGCGGCCCAACCTCCAGACGCGTTTTGAGCTCCAGAGTCGCTAAATGGGTCTCGAACCGAACGTGTGACCCCACCAACTGATTGCTCTCCGAACGAGGAATCCTTTGGCGGGGTCACACGTGCAAAAATACAAAAGAATATTACTTCTCTGTTGAAATAGAGCGGCAACAGTTCGGAATATTCACGTGGAGGGGGAGGGGTTGGGGGAGGGAACTCCCTGGGGCAGTTCCGCGTCGAGGGGTGGGCTACGCGGGGCGCTACGTCTACTTCGGCCACGCCACTGGAAGTCCCGCAGCAGAAGCCGCCATCCCGGCGAGAGCGAGACGGAGATACGACGTTGTAGGGTGGCGGCGCGCGGGGTGGCCAGGCGGGGCCGGGCCAGGCCGGGCACGGCACTGGAGTAATTCGGTTATGTTTCGAGTTCGCGTGACACACTGCACACAGCGCGCCGCCACGCTGTACCGGAGGGCCCGGAGGCCCGGAGGGTTCGGCCCATCGGCCTAGCGCGCCCACCACCGTGCACCACCGTGGCGCCACGCCCCCGCCGAGGGAACCGCTCCGTCTCTCTCGCACTCACGGGGCGCCCCGCGGCGGTGCGAGAGAGACGGAGGCAATTTGAGCGCGACTGCGCCGCGC